CGAAGACTCGATATGAGGTCGATATCCTTACTTATTTTAAAGATGAATTAAATTTAGAGAACCAAATTTTTGAAAGGATGGGAGAATTGTAACGTCCGATTCTCAATAGAAGTGTGTGTAAATAAATAAATTAAATTAGAACTTAGGGTGTAAATGAAAAAAAATTTAGTAATTAGGGGTTTTTATAAATTTTAAGGATCTAAATGAAAATCTGTGGGAAAAAGGGGGTCAAAAGCATAATTAAATAAGAATAGAAGGGGGCAAATAGAAATCAGGAAATGGACGGTCAAGATCGCACCGTCTGAGAGATCCGACGGCTTGAAATCACATTCGGTTGAATGGCCTAGATTGAATCTTGCAAGATTGGATGGCTAGGGAAATTGATATTTAAAGAAACAAATTAGGGTTTTTTTTTCATTCAGCAAATGAGAGCCAAAAATGAGAGAGAAGGAGAGATGAGTCGAGTGGGTGAGGGAGGAGGCCGATTTAAGTGAGGGTCGGGTCGAGAGGGAGAAGAGAACACCACGCGAGAGAGGGACGAGCAAGGAAACTAGAAGGAGAGAAGGGAACGCGGCTGAAGAGGAAGGAGGAGGAATCGTGGAGGCAGTAGGCCGAAAGAAGGAAAGGGGAAGGGAACCGCAACCAAGAAACACCACTTTGTAGGTAGATTTTGAAGTCGTGTTGCACGTGATGTCGGTGTTTTGAAAACAGGTGAGTTTCTTCCCTTTCTATTTATCCAAGATTCCCTTTTCGTGTTTCACTCTAACGGGCATGTAGGTGTGAAACCAAATCACCCAACCGACGCGGCAAATGAGTAGTTCTCTTGGGAGGCCAAGGAAACCATTCTCCGGAAGCTAGGAATCAAACTCGAATAAGGTGAGTTCTTTTTTCTCTTTCGGTGTGAGATCTCGATGGAAATGGGTATTAACGTGTGTGTGTGTGTGCGGGTTTCAGGAGCTAAAGTGCTCACCTCGCCACGGTGAGTGCGAGGGTCTTCTCGGAAAAATCGAAAATCATCTCCGATGGTGTAAATCTGGAAACTTGAGGCTGTTCGGCCTTCACAGCACCCAAGCCGAATTAGGCGACCTTCATTTTCCTTTTTCATTGTAGAGTTTTGGTGAATACGGATGCTAATACGTATGCATGTGTATACGTATAGATTTTGGAAAATAAATCGTCCACACCTACGCAGGGAGCTAAAGTGGTGGCTCGCCGAATATCAAAGAACGAGCTTGTTGTTGCTAATTACCCAAAACGAATTCCCTAGATTTAATTCATTTTCGTCAATTAATCTGATTATGTTTATGTATAGTGATTTTAGGCCATTGATCAAGTGGAATACAATCTGTTTGAGGGACTTTGGTAAGTACTTTCTCATTCCAAACTTGAATTTGGATTTTAAAAGCTTATGCATGTGTATTCTTAAACTTGATTTCTTGATGAAAAACAAAACCTAGACATCTTCCGGGCAGTGAGATCTGTCAGGAATGAGTTTAAGACACTTGATTTTTCTGATCTTTGTATCATGGGACATCGTTTCATTTGATTGTGTGACACATGACTATTGAACCTTAATTGGTTTGAAAATCATGATGAGAGGGAAACCAGAAAAATAAAGGACTAATAAATGATTCAATTGCGATAAAAAAAAAGGTTATGTAAAAAGAAAACACCAATAAAGTGAAAGGTTGAGAAGAAGGAAATAAACGAAAGAAAACGAATAAAAAGGAGTGGATATAAGTGAGTAATGTATAAATTCTGAATACCTACTCGTTTAGTCTGAATCAAGAAGTGGAGGGTGTATGTATGGCTGAAGTTCAGCGGGTAAAGTGAACCTGCACATGGATAATGTTTGAAACTAACCTAATACAGACGTGGATAGGTATTTGTGGGTGTGGGTCACTTAGCAAATGTGACTGCTGTGGCCAATGTAAGATTGTGTCTTATCCATGCGGTAGTGGGATCCTTTTTGTCTCTTCTTAACAACGATGAAACCTTAAAGATGACATTTCGAGTGTATATATGTTCTTTCGAGTGTACGTAGTGATATTTCGATGCCATAAATGATATTCGAATGTAATTTAGAAATCCGATTAGAAACTTATGAAATTAGAATGCTAGAAACAGTTATATTTAATAAGTAAATTTTGTTTTAGAAAATAGTAAGAATGATAATAAATTTTATATTGAAACCATTACTACTACATTTGTTACATATTCTATATTTTTGCATGATATCTGATCTGTGTTCTAGAAGAATGAAAATACACATTGAGTTGGTGAAACTCATTAAATTTCACCATAATATTTTTCAAATGAGAAAAAAAGACAGAATCGTTGCCGAATGAGTAAAACTTATGAAAGGGTTTCAATGCATGTATATTTTGTTCATATTCTAGAAATTTTCGTTTTATTTTGTGAACTTTAAATTATGATCTCATGTTCTGTATATATAACCACTGTATATATCACATACGATATTAAGTTTATGTTAAATTTTTGAGCTGTGTGTATACATGTTTTATCGGCCCATTGTAGGAATAATGGTATGAGTAGACTTGCGCTTCATTATTGGATTTGGGTTGTTACAGTTGTCTTCGACGAAAACTCTTTTCCATACTCATCTCCTGCACCTCTTGCCCAGTCTCTCACATAACCCACTGCCTCGCATCAATTCGATGCCAGCTAGAACTAACCAACTTCCCATCCCATCTCTTCAAGCTTTCCGACAGGGGGAGTTGTGTCCAGTCCAACTCTTGTTTCTCAACACCACTTGTCCAGCACCACAACATCTTTCTTTGCCGGACCACCTCCTGTATTACTTTCAGATTCATCCAACAGAATACCTAGTTGGCTCCACCCGAACAACACATGAAGCTGCTGGCCCAAGGCCATCGCCTTCGTCATCCTCCATCTCATCTCGAGGACTATGTTTGTTACACTGCACAGGTTGTAGACCCCTCTCTACTCATTTGCTTAATTATGTCTCATGTGACCAATTTTTTGCTAATCATAAGATTTTTTTTATTGTTGTTTCTGCTGGGGTTGAATCAATTTTCCTCGATGCCATGCAGGATCCCAAATGACGTGAGGCCATGCGTGCCGAGATCGATGCTCTTCAAAAAATTGGTACATGGATTTTTGAGACTTTCCCTCCGGGTAAGAAGCCGATTTGTTGTAAATTGGTATATAAAATCAAATATCATCCTGATGGCTCTATTGAACACTATAAAGCCCGATTGGTAGTCTGTGGTAAAAATCAGGTTGAAAGATCAAATTTCAATGAAACTTTTGCTTCTGTTGCTAAGCTGGTAAGCCTTCATGTTTTCTTAGCTGTTGCTATTACTAAAGGTTGGGAACTACATCAGATGGATGTTAATAATACATTCTTGCACACGGATCCTCATGAGGAGATTTATATGCAGTTACCTCTTGCATTTTCTACTCATCACCCAGATAAGGTTTGCCGGCTGGGGAATTCTATCTATGGCCTTCGACAGTCTCCCCGCAACGGGTTCACTAAACTTGCTTCTTCTCTTCGTCATTATGGTTTTTACCAGTCCCATGCAGATCACACTTTGTTTACATATTGCAAAGGGGATGTCTTCTTAACTGTGCTTGTATATGTTGATGATCTCATCTTAGTAGCCAATAACTCTCAAGCATGTCAGTCATTCAAGCATTATCTTAACGCTTGTTTTTAGATTAAGGACCTGGGTAATCTCAAATATTTCTCGGCATCGAAGTGGCATGTAATTCTACTGGTATTTTCTTGTGCCAATGCAAAACACTCTGGATATCTTGCAGGAAGCTAGCCTTATCGCTGCCAAACGAGCAGCTACACCCATGGAACAAAATCACTCGTTGGCTCGTGCATCTGGTCCTCTTCTAGTTGACCCTGGAGAATATCGTCGCCTTGTTGGTCGTCTAGTATATCTAACTATCACGCGCCCTGACTTATGTTATTCGGTCCACATTTTGTCTCAATTTCTTCATGCACCGCATCAAGTCCATACGGATGCTGCTTTACGCATACTACGTTATCTCAAAGACTCCCCGAGACAAGGAATTTTTTTGAGTGCCAGTGGCTCTTTGCAATTTTTCGCATATTGTGATTCTGACTGGGTTGCTTGTCCGTTGACCCGCCGTTCATTATCAACTTATTTTGTGCATCTTGGTGCCTTGTCTATCTCTTGGAAGACGAAGAAGCAACCTATTGTCGCTCGCTTATCTGCTGAGACCGAATATCGTATTATGGATGTTACTACATGCGAGCTCACATGGCTTAAATCCTTTCTCACTTCACTCGGTGTATTTCATAGGAAGCCCATGCGACTTTTCTGTGATAACCAAACTGCACTTCACATTGTTTCCAATCCAGTCTTTCATGAACGAACAAAATATATCGAAATCGATTGTCATTATGTACGGGAACAACTTTTGGCAGGTAATATCTCTATTGCGTTCCTATGCTCCTCTCAATAACTTGCAGACATTTTTATCAAATTTCTTTATTAGAAGTGGTATTTAGGATGGCTGCCACGTCAATAAATATGTTTGTGTTTAAATTTGAAAATTTCAAAGTAGTGCTTTCTATCTTTTAGGAGTTTATTATTTTCTGATTTATTATATGATCATGACCTATTTTTAGGATCGTGAATTTAGCAGTTACTTAATTTCAAATCAATATAATATATGTTTTGAATTCAATAAAAACTGAACTTTTCCATAAAGTTGTCTCTGTTTTTCTGTTGTAACACTAACAACAATTGGTATCAAAGTTCTTTTCTTAAGAGACCTGTAAGTGTTCTAGATTGATTTCAAGTGGCTGTCATGGATGCAGAATCCAGTTTCTCGTCGATCACTCCTCTTGTTTTTGACGGTGAAAATTATCATATCTGGGCTGTGAAGATGGAGGTCTATTTGGATGCGTTGGACCTCTGGAAAGCAGTAGAAGATGACTATTTGCAGCAGTATCATCAACCATTTTTACCCAAGTCATGTCGCTCAAATCAGCAAAAGCAATCTGGAATTATCTCAAATCAGAGTATGAAGGTGATGAGAGAATCAAAGGGATGCAAGTGCTGAATTTGATAAGAGATTTTGAACTACAGAAAATGAAGGAATCAAAAACGATCAAAGAGTATTCTGACAGACTTTTAAGCATCGGCAATAAAGTGAAATTGCTCGGTTCTGATCTACCCGACTCGATGATCATTGAAAAACTGCTAGTAACAGTGTCTAAAAAATTTGAGACTACAATTATAACCTTAGAAAACACAAGGGATTTGTCAAAAATCTCTCTTGCAGAACTCTTAAATGCTTTGCAAGCACAAGAACAGAGAAGGGTCACAAGGCAAGAAGGAGCAGTTGAGGGAGTTTTGTCTATGAAGCATCAAGACAATGTGAAGAATAAAAAGAATAAGAACAAGAAGACAAATACTAGTGGTGAAGCAGGTGCTAACAACAGTAAAGGAAAAGGTGGAAATGCTGGTGGAAATCACTCACCATGTCATCATTGTGGCAAAAAAGGCCACCTCCTTTTCGGTGTTGGAGAAGATCTGATGCAGAAAGCAGCCAATGCAATCAAACCGGTCATGAAGCTGTAATTTGTAAAGTTAAGACTCAACAGCATAACATGGAAGCAAAGGCTGCTGATCAGGAGGAAGAGGACCAACTTTTTATTGCAACATGTTTCACAAGTGGTGAATCAAGTGAAAGTTGGTTTGTTGATAATGGTTACACAAACCACATGACATATGAAAAAAATATTTTCAAAGAAGTGAGAAGTATAGAATCCACAAAAGTCAGGATTGGAAATGGAGAATACATCACAGTCAAAGGAAAAGAAACAGTTTCAATCACAGGGTGTGCAGGTACGAAACTAATTTCTTATGTACTTTATGTTCCTAGCATAAACCAAAATTTGTTTAGTGTCGGTCAGCTAATTGAGAAAGGTTTCAAAGTGTATTATGAAGACAATCACTGCTTGATTAAAGATGCAACATATCAGGACATATTCAAGACCAAATTATAAAGAAAAGCTTTATATTAGATTCTATGAAAAAAGAAGAATCAGCTTATTTAGTAAAAGAAAGTGTGACTGAAATTTGGCACAAGAGGCTTGGTCATTACCGTCATCAAGGAATGCTCAGGCTAAATTTGAAGCAAATGGTAAGGGATTTACTTGCTCTCAATAGTGATTTACCTCACTACAAAGCTTGTCAACTTGGAAAGTAGCATAGACATTCATTTCCAAAATTAACTTGGAGAGTAACAAAAAAATTGCAGCTATTACACACTGATCTTGCAGGTCCAATGATCTAACACGAATGTCTTGGATTTTCTTTTTGAAATTCAAATTTGAAGTTGCTTGCATATTCTGGAAGTTTAAAGCAAGATTAGAAAATAAAAGTGGTTGTATAATCCAAAGTTTGAGGTCAGATAATGCCACTGAGTACACATCAAATCAATTTAATATTTTTTGCAATCAAACAGGAATACAACATCAGTTAACAGCACCGTACACTTCACAACAAAATGGTGTTAGTGAAAGAATGAATTGATTCATCATGGAAATGGCAAGATGCATGCTGCATGACAAAGACTTACCAAAGATTTTTTGGGCAGAAGCTGCAAATACAGCAGTTTTTCTCCAAAATAAGCTTTCAACCACAGTAGTAAAAGATATGACACCTTTTGAAGCATGGTTCGGCTATAAACCCACAATGAGTTTTCTAAAAGTATTTGGGAGTCTTTGTTTCACTTATGTTCCTCAAATGAAGCGCAACAAGTTAGATAGAAGATCAATACCTGGAATTTTTGTTGGTTACAGCACCGTTTCAAAAGCTTATAAAGTCTTTCATTCTCAAACAAAAAAGACAACCATAAACCGAGATGTATACTTTATGGAAAGTGAAAAGTGGAACTGCTCCGAAAACAAGAACTTTTATCCAATCTCAACTGAGATGAAGATCCATTGTCCCATCCAAGAAAGGGACAAACATGGCATAAATGAATGGGAGGATGAGGCTGTAGATGATGTTCCAATCAGAGGCATTTGTTTACTATCTGATATATATCAGAGTTGTAATATAGCTATGTGTGAGCCAGCAAGTGTTGATGAAGCAAAACTGAATAAAAAATGGATGATTGCAATGAAAGAGGATTTGTACATGATTAAAAAAAATAATACATGGCAGCTTGTTGACAGACCTCCAGATAGAAAAATCATTGGAGTGAAATGGGTTTTCAAAACCAAACTCAATGTTGATGGCTCCATCAACAAGCACAAGGCGAGGCTTGTGGTCAAAGGTTACGCCCAGATTTTCAGAGTGGACGATTCAGACACATTTGCACCAGTTGCCAGGCTAGACACCATCAGGTTGTCTTGCTGTTGCAGCACAAAAGGACTGGAAAATGTATCAGTTGGACATTAAAGCAGCATTTTTAAATGGTCTTTTAGAGAAAGAAATCTATGTTGAGCAAACAGAAGGCTTTGTGAAAAAGAATGAAGAAGAAAAAGTTTATCTGAGTGCACTCTTTATGTCAAACAATCTGATGTTGATATTTTTATTATCTCTTTTTACGTGGATTATCTTTCGGTGACTGTGAACAATGCAACTCTAATTTATGAATTTAAGCTGGA